TCTGGAATAATTTTGGAAAAATTTAGCATTATAGAGGGCCCATTTACCAATCAGCATCCAACATTAAAGGTTACCCACTTTTCCTAGGTAAGCTTGGCAAATCCCGCTCTCCCAGGTGATGCACAGGTTCTTCCTTGAACAGGAGGGCCCCCCCTGGAACCCACTAAAGTGTTCGTCTGATCTGCGGCCGCCTCAGACATTCACAAATGATCACAAAACGATGGACATGTTTGGCCACTGTGACCATTCCTTGCCCATGACTTGGAACGTTGAATCAAACCAAGGCCTTCATCAAATGCCGGGCAAGGCATCACAGAACAGTGGGACCACCCTCTGGTGCCACAAACTGATCACGTATCCTCTGGTGGTCTGGTGACTTCTCCGTCCACCTCTTTGGTGGCGCCCAGTGGCCAAGTAGAGAGCGAAGGCCCATCCGATGTCCGAGGGCAGAAAGCCATTCCTGGAAATCGGAAGAGCGGCGAGCGCCCAAGGCAAGCGCCGCTCGCGCCCCGTACATGTTTGGACTGACCGGATCACAATATGACATGTCTTATGACTGACCAAAATGCTGGATGGTCAAGTTGATGGGTCAATCTGGAGTCAAGTTGATGATTCAAATCCAGTGGATTTCTGTTGTCAACCATGACCTTCAAAGTACAAACTGCTCTTCATCACTCGTTGCTACTGCAAAAGCTGCGAATGTAGAGACTGCAGAACTCTGACACGATGAGAAGGATCCTGAGGCCTCCCGGAGATTTATACATGGGTTTACGGTTCAGAAACCAAGTGATTAAACATACATGTAAGTTGAAGCCCCATCTAATCAGGCGGCACGCGGCTACGCATCCCTTACATCTTGTGGACGTGCTTTCGGTTAGCAATGATCAGTCGTGACAGTTACGGGCTGAGTCACAGCACGTTTCAGGGTTCGCCAAGTGAGTGTCACGGTGGAAGCACTTGCACTTGCGCAACTCGCATACCAACAAAAACCTACATCTTGGGCTCCATGGACCCAATCCGAAACCAACCAAAAAGCAGTGTCTTTCGGAGATGTTTGGAAACATGGTCACCGCCCAGCGGTCAAATCGACTCGACTCGGTGTTACATAATTTGGCGAAGACCTGAGACTCAAGTCGCCAAGCATCAAGTTGGGATGAAAGATCAGCGAAAGCCCAAGCGCCCCAACGCCCAAGTAGAGGTGCTGAAAGGTGTCGGTATCCTTGGGAGAAAAAGCACGTCCAGTGGTAAAAGCATGTCCAAGTGGACACCGGTGATACTCCAGCCTCGCTGCACGAATGCAGGGCACCTCTCCACCGGTATTTCAGAGTGATGTCAACGGACCACCAATGGTCCGGTGTCCGGTGACCACAACTCGTCCAAAACCATGCGCAAACCGGTCTCATGAGTCACATTCAATAATAACAATATCCTTCCAGAACCCTCCTGTCGGGGTGTCCAATGCACTACCCCACACTATACCTATAGGCTTCCAGACAGGGCACCCCTTAGAGGCTCCTGGTTATCTTTATGTACCTTTGGGGCTCACATATCCATAGAGCCACTTTGCAAGACTGTTGGGGATTGACTTATATAAATCTAATTACTGTAGATGTTTGTTTGGGGTCACCCTACCTTTTCGATCCTTTTGGTGGATGATTCACTGAAACTCAGAATTTTCATGGTGCCTCATGCTTCCTCACCACGTTACTGTTGCTCATGAAACCCAGAACCTGCAAAGCCGTCCAACACGGCGCATCCTTTTTCACGGCAGAAAATGGCGATAGTGATGGGTCTAATGTGCAATCCTGTGGATGCAACACATGCACTCCAGCCTCGCCCTGAAAACAGACCAGAAAACGGCGCCGGCTGGAAACGCGTGGCCATGTGACCACGCCAAGCGCGAGCTTCGGGAAAAATGTCTAATTTTTAACAAGAGCCGCTGAAGCTCCGTTGAGAAGCCTGTAAAGAGGGCAGTTGTGTGTTCAAGTCAGCTTGTCACTGTTCGGTCTGTCCATGTTCTGTGGTGCCAAACAAGCGCCGGCGGGGAAGTATTAAAGTGACCATTATTGATATCTAAAATCAGTTGTGAGGAAAGAGGTGGCACACGTGCCCAAAGGTGGTATTGCACATGTCAACTTCTTTTTACCAATGGTCAATGGTATGGTTTGCGCAACCCATTCTGAAACCGGACTCACTGCGCTCAAAAGCTCGGCAAGCAAACCATGCGATGTTGAGCGATTGCGCTCGGCAAACCGTGGGCTTCCCGTTGGGACTTCAGCTCCCAGCTCACTCATTGCAAATGGTTCTTTCTGTCACCAATGTTCCAACCTGCGCGAAGTTCCGAGCAGTCATGAGTCATGAGCAGTCAGGGCCTCAAATTTGATGTCGTGATCAACTGATGTGCAAATGTCCACCTCAAATATCGTGCTGAAAACAACCTGCTGCGGGATTCCCTTGCAAACCAAGCCTCTACATTGGAATCACATGTTACCCCGGCGTGCCGAGGAAATCTCAGTCAGGTCACTAGATGAATTACTAGAGCCAGAGAATCTCAATCTCAACAAAGGGCTGCTGCATGATGCCGCCTGATTAACATTGTAGATGTGGACATGTTGTATAATATAATATATACTTTTAACATATATGCGCAAGTACGCTGTATGCATATAAAAATTGAGTAATTACATACAAATACATACAGCATCTATGTCTTCAGAATATGTCAGCTGCCATGTCCGCCTTTCTGGACCAAAAGACACGAAGAAGCCAGTCCGGCCGAGTCCGCCACCAGGCCCCCTCTGGCCTTGAGAGGCTCATCGCATCCAAGGGTGTGCGGCAATGGAGTTCAGGTCGATGCGCGCCGCAGGGTTCACCACGAGCCTCGAGGCGTCCGGTGTTCTTGCGGGCGAAGCGGCAGGGGTTCCTGGCGTTTTCTGGCGCAGGAAGATGTGGCATGTGATGTCATACAAGGCAGGAAGATCTGACCAAGCAAGTTCCATGCGTACCGTCCAGGCTCTCCCGTTGACACCAGCCACGTGGGATCTGAGGGGTGTACTCAGTTGCACATCCGATTGAAGAGTTGCCAAATAAAAACGGGCATCCAATTGGAAGTAGGTTTGGAGGTCGGGCATGTTTAGTCTGAGTCCGGAGGGCACGAGGTTCGAGGTTCAGGTATGGTTCAATCACATCTACCTGTAGTGGACAGAATCTGACTGCACAGAAGTTGAAACCACTGTGTTCGTAACAGAGTCATCCAAGGGCCAATTTCCACTTCCATGTTAGTGAGTCGGAGGGCATCACATGTGCAGCTGAGTCATCCAAGTGCCACCGTCCGTCAGGTCAAACCAAGGACGAAAACACATCCCCTCCCTCTCGCCATCGACGAACACAGAAAAATTGCCATAGAACAGAGCTCAGGGGGAAGCACCGCCAGAACAAGTGACCCCAAGGCTCGTCAGCAATTCAATCCGCCAAAAGCCTCCCAACAAAACGCTGGAGGGGTCGTGCTTGCAAGTTTTAACTGCCCAAGAACCCAAACGACATCGCAAATCACCAAGTGACATCTTGCTCAGCAAATCCATGAGCTGTGGAGATGCTCCCGGGATGGGTTGATATCTGCCGGCCATGACATCATCCTGCCCAGCTGAGAGATCAGCGTTGTACCCATTCTTCTCGTATGGCCCTGTCCCAGCCTCCCTGCTCCCCCGGCCGGCCGGTCTCTGAACAGTCACTTTCATTGCCCCACATTGGGCACAAAAAGAGCCATCGCGCAGAAATATTGTCTATCAAAAGTTACTCCAGTTTCTTGAGGGCTTCAAAGTCATCCATCAAACCAGTTTCCAGCCATAGAAACTGTTCATCTAGGTCTAGGTGTTGCTTCAAGTGCTTGGACATGCTCGGAGAGACTGCCCAACACCAGCAACCCCAAAGCGCGAAGAAAGCCATCCACAAAATGAAGAGCCGGATAGCAGAGGAAATCGCCCTCATCACAATCACTAGAAAAGCAATGTTGGAACCTTCAAGTTTATTTACCGAGTGAACAAAAACTTGACAATAAACTACAGTAACCGCTTGAAAATACCATCACTCACTCACTCACTCTCTCTCTCTCTCTCTCGCGCTCGGCACCGTCCGCGACGAAGATCCGCCGTCCTCCTCAGGAGGGAAGGGTGGGGTGCCCGCCACCATGTTGTACAGAACGCATCCCAAACTCCATACGTCGGCCTGCTGAGCGACGCGCCGTGGCCGACGGACTCCTCGACCAAAGCAATCGACCTTCGTCAACCAAAGTCAGTGACATCCTTCGTCAACCGGTCACTTCCCAACCAAATTTGCTCTCACGGTGGTGATGTGTTGAACGCCAGATGTTCACAAAAAACACGCGCGAGGAATCAAGAAACCCTGTGGCAAGCACTTGTAGAAACTGACAGGTCAACTTTGAATCAGAATCCCTTCAAACCCTTGCCAAATGCTGTTCCACAAGCACAGCATGATCATGAGGAACATCATGTATTGCAACCTTGGTACGTGTCAAACCGACGGCTTAGTCTCTGAGTCAGATCAAAGCCGTCCCATCGGTGCCCGGATAAAAACTCCAAGAATCACAAAAAGAAAGGAGCCCAGGGCCAACATGAAACAAGACTACTTTGACGTCCTTAATCTATTCAGCACTGAACACATATGCCAATGTTTCTTTGATCGCTTCTTCGCCGCACCAACCGAGCAGTGTCTTCCAAGTCCAGTCTGACTCGTCATCCTTTCTCTCAGCAGTCTGGTGCGGTCGAAGGGAGTCCTGAGAATCCTCTCAGGATGGTATGGGATCTACAGCCTATCATCCACAGAGTTTGGTGCGAAAAAGATCTTATGAGTCTGATGCACTCAAAAACAGAGGAAACATCATGACCAACTATCCAGGCATAGGCACGCGGCACGACTTGTTTTCGAGGTCACCAGGTCACTAGACGTACCACTCAAGCTCCATCTCACAAATCTTGTGAGGAACGTGGATCTGTTGATCCTTGTTTTGTATATGTGACCTGTCCTCATGTACAAGAAATCCATCAACCACGCCCAGCTGCTGGTTTGAGGGCAGCTCCATGATCCAGCCCAGCCCTCCCGGCCTTGCCATCATACGGCTTAGGCTTCATCTGGGCATACTGCCTCAGATGATTGGTGCTTGGAGCTGCATGTCATCCTACGTGGCCTCCGCCTTTTCGCTTTTCTCTCAGTGAGGCCTACGGGATGCCTACGCGAGCAAGTGCCAGATTGCAAGCACATAGCAAAAGCCTAATAACTGCAGTGGGAGGCACCAGGCCAGCCAGCAGTGACAGCCGTTAGCTGGGGGACCAATCACACCACCAAGGCACTTGCATCCGCTTCAAGCTACTGCAAAACTCCACCACAACCAACGCTTCCCAACGCTACCCTATGCTACCCGATCAGGCGGCAACATAACATTGCACTACGTACTTTCTTTCTTGGTTCGACCTGCCTGCGAAGTGATGCAAAGTGGGCTACTGGTTGAACATGAACTCCTGTTCCTACGCACAGGCCTATGCAGTCAGTTGGAATTCCGCATAATTCCGCTCACTGCACTGGCCTAGTGACTGGCCCAAAGATTTATTCATGTTATTATATATATATGATATATGTCATAATCTATTCTGGTTTCAAGGTAGGTGGCCCGCTTACTAGCCACCCAACAAGCTTGGACAAGGTCTTCTCAACTTCTCAAGAACATGCACTCCAAAACAACCTACGCAACAACCCTACGCACACAGCCTATGCAAACACTCACATCATCTCAAATCCACGAAATGCTCAAAGGATGGAACGACCTGAAAACTATTTATGGTATGGGACAATTAGGGAAACACATAAGCCGCCAAAACTGGCAAGCATATCATGTTCGCGAGGGGAAAGCGAGCATAGAAAGGAGAGTATCTGCTTTGTGCGAGATTTGAGGTTGCAAAAGGCTCTTGGGTTTCCTCTTCATGAGCACAGCTAGAAGAGTGCCCGCCTGGGAATTAAGTCATTACTGAATGATACAGCCTGGTGCTCTTTTCAGGTGCGGTTCAAGAGCTGGTGACTACTCTCACTTGGCACGTGTGTAGATCAAACAAACTTGGGGACCTGAATGGGCCTGACAGGGTCACTCGCACCGACTCACTCTTTCCAGAAAAGGGGGGAAGTCAGTCCAAACATGTCCAAAGGTCCTCGAGGCACAACTTCGATGCCCTTTCTCCTTCACTTCTCCGCTCCACGGCCCTTGAGACCTTCTCTCGCCCGAGGCGCACTTGCACGGGGAGGTCCACCATCTCAACTTTGGGCAAAATCTTGCCCTGACCTCATGAAGCTGACCCAGCGACCCCGGAAACCCGCACCAGTTCAGTGGGGGTTCGCCAGTGTGGCCGAAATGGAAATGACACCGGGGTGTTAAACGTGCCGTGAACATGCCATGAAACTGAAGGGGACAGAAAGGGCACGAACATGTCATGATTCAGGTCATTGCAGGGACTTCACTGAAAGGCCTCAAAGAACGGGCCCCAGTATGTAGAACCTGGTAGAACCTGCTGTTGAAACATGCGGAACTGACTGGAGCTGAAACGAAGATGAGTAAACACTGCGCAGCATACCGTACTTCGGTGTACAAGGCCTGCTATTGTGCGGGTGCTGTTTGAAATGATAATGGTCTGTACTGTCAAGCTGTGCAGTCTTGTATCTGGTATTGGAACATTTGATTGATATGTCGATGATAATGTAGACTGTTGATGGATAAAACAGTCTAATTTGGAGATGTGAAATTGTTCTGGTGGAGGTGGACTGTTTGATCAACAGTCTGTAATAATTACTATACCTGGACTGTACATGTTCACGCTGTTTCACACTATTCCTTGTCAATACGGACGACCCATAAAAGAAGATAGAAAGGGTCCACTGAGTCAGGCCATGTCGATGCTTTTGACGTTGAGGAGGCATGGAGCAGCTGAGCACATCTGGGCACCGTTCAGGAACAGGTCAGAACGAGGCAACTCATGATAACACGATATAACTCACTACTATATATAGTTAAAATATGCGCGTTAAATATATGTACGTATGCACCATGTTAGAAACACCATGTTGACAACTATATATGTATGTTTGTCTATGTTGACATCAAATGGTGTCCTATGTGCGAATGGCTCCAGCTTGCTGGACCCTCCGGCCAAGAAATACCCGAATACACCAACACCGAACGCGGGTGAATGTGGGGATTGTGCACGGAAGGTCTAGCATTCTGCAAGTGAATTCACTTACGTCCAAGCCTGCCAAGCTGCAAGCAAAGCAAACTCAAGAAACTCCAAACCTAACCAAGACTTATATAACCTTATATACCAAAATACTGTCTGGAGTTTTCAGCTGTCGGCTGCTACTTCCCCACTAGAACGCCCCAGCGCTCGGCCCTGTAGCTCTGAGCATCAAGCGAAGTAACCCAGAACTTCTTACCAGGTAGTCCCAGGTCTACACAGAGTCCCGGGACGAACAACCAGCCATTCTTCCCACATCGAGTGGCCTTTGTTGTCTCCAGTGACTTTGAAGGATCCATCGAAGGCTCCGCGAGAGGAATTGTCAAGCAAGCGGTCGCCCATCAAATCAAGGATGTCCTCGAATGTCGTGAGACAAAAGACTCCAAACGAAAGACTCTGAACGAAACGAGAGGTTAATGCATCCATGGAAGCCTTCCAAGCTTTTTGAATAGCTGCCGTTTGACTTACATAAAAAAAACATCCAATGCATTCCAATGTCCATTCAAAGCCGGCTGCCACAAGATCAGGAAGCCCTGCAAAAATCCAGCTCTCAAGGGTATCCGACACCAGGCCCTGAATCCAACATACGTCGGAATTGATGGACAAGCATCCCTCCATCGAAAAATTGCCGAACACAATCCAAACCAGGAGAATCCAGATTCAGCCAAAGTTTTCTTTATAAGGCCTACTACTTAACTAGTAACTATAGTAACTATTATAGTGAAAACTGGAAAACGAAGGACAAAAGAGAAAGAGCACTGCTCTATCCTTTTGAGTGTTCTGACGCATATTCCGATTCCCATATGCTGTTCTCCGGTTCGCGGGATCCGCTCCTCATAGTCCATCTGGCTCACATCGCGACCATTCACCTTGGTCAAAACCCCTAAATGATGTGTTTTTTGGACAAAGGTTGGCCCAACAATGCGGAGCATTGGTGCAGTTTGGAGGGTAGCTGTGGAAACTCAATGACCATCTATATATGTGCCATGGTCATGACCTCGGCATCTGTGCTGTCCAGCGGCAGATTTCACGACCCATTCGTTCTGCACACCGGCCACATGGGCTTGGCCCAAAGGATCTCCAGGATACCTGCCAACTGCTGGAGACGAAGCAGCTTGCCTGTATCATCCTGTATCTCTCCTTAGTGCATGAACTCCCATCAGCTGGGCTCAGGTCCTGATAGTATCTGTCTTCCATCTTAGCTGCTTAGCTGTGCTTCTAATCGTTCTACGAAGGCAGCCTCCGCAAATCCTGCAACTGTCACCCGCTGACATTCCTCACTTCCCCACGAATCGCCCTTTCACAGGTCCTCGCCTGCTCTGTGGAATCACCTCGATGATGCGTGCGCCCTTGTTGTTGGGGCCTGCCGAGAGAAACCGAGAGAAATGGAGCATCCAGTTGCCAAATGCCGCCATCCTCCGCCCGGGTTTGATATGGTGTGGCTCAGTTTGACCATGGCCATGGTGGATGAAATTGGCTGCAGAATCACTCAGTGGCGTTTTGCATCGCCCTTTGTCCAACTGGCCTTCTTTGGTGGTGAGTGGCCACTCAACAATTGGCGGCAAAAACGCACCGAACACGCACCAAAATGGCCTCAGTTGTGGCTCTCTTAGGTCAATGGCAGGGCGAGAAACCATGGGGAGAAGTGACAAATTGTGGATGATGGTGCCTGATTCTGGATGTGATTGAATGGATGGACTAGGGGTATTGACCGGGATAGCCTGCAAAATGTTTGGGCTCGAGAACTCACTTAGCATACCAAACAAGGGGAAAACAGGTCAGTGATTGGCCGCCCTTACTTTCAGACACACCTGTAGTTCTTGAAATGACTTGGGTGTTGGTGAGCGTGTTGATATTGTGAATGAAATGTATGTGTATACCGTGTAGGTAAATACGTTAAATATATATATATATATGTGTGTGTGTGTGTTTCCCTTTATTTATATGCAATTATCTCTGTGTGTGTGTGCACCCATGTGCATATACAGCTTACACATGCACATGCTTTTAGTACGTAATTATACACATCATCATAGGTTCGTCTATAGACCATTGGTTCGAAAAGATTCTTTTCACACTGGACGTCCGGTGGCTCCTCCCCCGAGCCCTGCGCCATGCGCGCCATGCACTCCGCACCCAGCCTGGCTTATACTTCCGGATGCCAAAAGGCCGCTTCCTGATGTTTTTCATGAGGCCCGGAGAGAGGTCCGGAGAGAGGTCCGGAGCCGGCTGCCTAGCTGCCTAGCTATGCCATCAGGTGGGCTTGGGGCACCATGTTGGACCTTATAGACTTATAGATGTAGAGGAAAAAGGGGCGGCCCTTAAACTGCTCATTGTGAGCCTGGGGCAAAACCAAGAATACCAGATCTGACAAAGGATCTTCTAGGTATTTTTGTAGCTAGGCACGAGGGTGTGTGTAGATCCCAAGCTTGTGCAGGATTTTTTGTCAATCAGCAATGCCAGGAAAAACAGAAAACGGACGGAGGATGAAGGATGATAATTTAATAATGGAATATGTTAGCAAGAAAAACTCGGAAGCTGAGGATGCAAGCGCCCTCCTAAAGAGTACAACGAGGAAAAGCGGTGCGGCGACCACGTAGATAGGGGGAATCCTGGCGACCAATCACTTAGCTGGGTATCTCCGCCCACATTTGCCGCACAAATGCGGCTGGCTTTCGGGGGAGCTAAAGCATCCAAATCCAATGGCTTTGCCCTGGTAAGTCTTGTTGGAAGATGTTGGCACAGCTTCTTCGGGGCAACATTCATCCAATCCAAGGAACTTGAACTCAATCTCCACGGTAGATTCCACCTCCACAGCCATGTCGAATGTGAAGACAGGAGGGGACATTGGTACTAGCTATAGGGTGGTTGTGAAACACCATACACTTGCTCATCTCAACATCCCCAGGACTGGAACCACAACCTCAGAGGGCAGTTAGCCCCCCCCAAACCCACCCCAACCACCTGTGGCAGGTCCACGTTTAATTGCTTTCGCCGCAGGTGCTGGACCCGCACACCCACCCGACCCCAAAATCGCTTCTGTGTCTCCATGTCTGCGTGTGTTCACGCCATTGAAACTAAGTCTTCTGAAACTGGAAATCACCGGGTCTAACTCTACAAAGGGAGGGGTACACCGTACACCCCCCTCAAAAATACATACACACACACATATATATATATATATATGTGAATGCATTTATGTGACCCGGAGATCTTCTGAATCCTAAACTTCTTGAACGTGAACGTCCTGAGGAGTCCTGACGTCACGAGTCAGTTATGACCTTTGAGGATCGGCTCAGGAGTGCGATCATTAGAGTTGCCACCGATGTTTGGAGAGGTTTTGATGGTGAAATCCCGGCAAATCAACCCCTTAATGGTTAATGGTTGGGACATGTTCATCACCATGAGCGCTTTCAGCAAGCCTACTTGCGCTGACCTGGGCTAACTTTGACTTATAATACCCAGGTTATGACCTACCCTAACCTAGTTATGACCTAGACTATAGGTCCCATATCTTCTGTAAGTCAGTTAGCTGACTTAGCTTTGACTTAGTAAGAGATATAGAGGTTAGTAAACACTTAGGTCGGGCTTAGCCAACTTAGAAGAGTTAGCTTCAACTTAGGGCTGAGTTGGCTAGTCGGCTAAGTCAAAGCTAAGTCGAAGCTAAGCTAAGCCAGCTAAGGCGGTTAAGTCGGCTAAGTCAGCTAAGTCGACTAAGTCGGCTAAGTCAGCTAAGTCGACTAAGTTGGGCCAGGATCATTATGCTATAAGTTGAATATGTCTGGCACCAAACATTCAGAGCATATAGAAGGAAACAATCTGACATTGGCTGACTGTGGGCTAATGTAGAAGGATGAAATCTGTCAGAAACAATATGACACTGTCTGACTGTAGACTACTTAATAATTATGACTGCGAACATAGCCAGGTAGACACTTAGTCGACCGAGCCGACTTACCTAACATAGACTTAGCCGACTTAGCTAAGTTAGCTAAGTCAAAGCTAAGCCAAAGTCCAAGCAAAGTCGAAGCTAAGTCCCATGCCTAAGTCTGACTTAGCTCGGACTTCCAAGCTTGGCTAACTAGGGTCTGCACAAGTATCATGTACGCGGTACACATCTGCTGATCACTCGCGTTTCCTTTACAAAAGGACATCCATCAAAGGTGGTCTTTATGGGTCTTTATCATCTGTTCAAGCTGCGATAGTATAATTTCACTAACTCGCCGCCACCGTGTTGAAGACGACGGGCATTCCAAACCCGCCAGGGAATACTAAGTATCTATGGTGTATATAACATATCAAGGAGATACAGTAAATAATAAATGGTATATAAATGGTAAACTAGACTGAACACGAACCTGGAAAAGAAACAAGAAACATGCAAACCGGCCGGGGCAACCAACTTGCCCTCGCCACCCCACCACCAGCGAGGGCAAAACGGCCGAAGCCCCACCTGGGAGGCATCAGAGGCATCGAAGTCATCCCCACGGGCAATGATCACCTCTGGGGCCATGTATTGCCTGCCCAGCGGTGGTTTGTTTTGGTGTCCCGGTGTCTCATTCTCTCATTCTTTGGTTGGCAGGCTGGTGCTTTCCTCTCTCTTTTTTGGCAGTTTATGACTGTTTGGCTGTGTGTGGTGGGGGGGGACCATTTTGCTGAAATCCACAATGTGATGGCAATGCCCGAGAGACATGAATCCCCATCCAATCTCCTGCGGTCCATACAGCAGTATGGCACGAAAACCCAAACAACAACATGTAACATCATCTAACCTTACAATACCTTGGATCTTCGGGTGCTCCATTGCGAGGATTCTCCAGGCTGGAAGGCCCCCCCATGTGCTCTCGGCATTTGCAGGATTTCATCTGTGGACCCTGCCATCTTGTCCAGATCTCAATGTTTCGGCCCCTGCGGTGGGATGTTCATTGATTTGGGTGGCACAGTCTCAAACGTTGAGGTCTGAAACTTCGCCCTTTCACCCTAGGCTTCCAGGACGGTCCACCGTCCAATATCCCAGTGATGCAGTGGCATGGTGTGCTTGGCGCGTGCACCGCTGTCGGGGCTCCGGTGCCGATTGGGCCATGCTTTTCAACCCCGTCCCATCTTTGGTCGGCTCTGCATACTGGGAAGTGAACAGGAGTCCCCCAAACCACTGGATTCTAACGGAAAATTGTCTTCAACAAGTCAATGTTCAGGGTCCATGTTAGTCTGTATGCATTTCGAAGGCTGAGAAGAAAAACCCAACACAAAAAGATCTGCACAGCTGCATCAATGCATCCAAGCATGCCGCAATTGTTGCCGACAAGATGCAAGGTACCAATGAACTTGCTAGCCTCGCAAAGGCAGCTTCGTGCAAACGTGTTTGCTCTTTCTTGCTATTTCTGGAGGGTTTTCCATGATCTTCCTGTTTACATGCACAGCTATATGGCTCACATGGGCTTCTGGGCTGACCTGTCCTGCGTCTCCTCTGCGTCAACAAAACACCACACTGTCACATGGTGCGGGAGTGAATGGGTCCTCAAAGAATCAACACCGCAAAGAAACTCCGATGACTCTACGCACCATGCCCTGAGCCTATCCTGGAGTCACAGCCACAGCTTATAGAATTCTTTCATATGGTAAGGCCAGGGTAGCCGGTTTTAAACACACGTCAAACAAAAGGTAAAAAAAGGTGAAACGGAACAGTCAAAGTAAAGAGAAGTCAAATGGACAAGTCAAAACAAGGTCAACAAAGTCGGAAAAACAAAGTCAAACACATGTTACAATTTTAAAACAACTCGAAAACAATCAAACACAAAACGAGTCTAATGAAAAACAAACAAATCAAAAACAGTCAAAATGAGAAACCATCTTTAAAAAGTCAACAAAAGTGAGAAAAAATCAAACACAAAAACGTCAAACTTTGAAAACAAATCGAACAAGTCAAAGTCAAAAACAACGTCCGAAAACAAGTAAAAAATACAAAACAATAAAAATTGAAAACACAACTGTACTCGAACAAGTCAAAATACAAAAGTCAAAAAAAGTCGGATCTGGGCCAATTGACCTTTTTGACGTTCTGACACTTTATGATTTGATTACTATTTGTCCTTGACTTTTGGCACAAACTACCACGTTGACTTTTTGTAGACTGCTTTTAAATCTTGAAAGCAGGCTCTCTCCAATGAACGTGTTTTATTTATAAGCCATAGCTAAATCAAAAGACTTGGACACCTTTCCTGAACTTTTTTGGTGTTCAAAGTGTTGTCATCAAGCGTGGATATGTTTCTTTTCCTTCTTACCTCACTAACCTAGCAACAAGGCTTCGTTTTTGTGAATGGCGGTCCGACACTGGCAAAGCACCAGTTCCCAAACATCGTGTGTGCTTGGCGATCCAGTTCAATATTCCAGATGCCAGTCATCTGGGGTGGAAATACACATGCACCCGTGCCAGGGATCCAGGGACGAAACCAACATCGACCTGGAAGAACACAAGCACGAGACATCACGAGACACAAGTCCCTCTCCATGCACCGTCCGTCTTTGGATCAGCACCTGCTCCCCTCCAACCCCCAGGCACTTACGTCCCCCACACCCGCGGTTCGTCGCCTGCAGAGGTCCCGTCTTGGACCAGTGCCCAGCACCGAAGTCAATGAGCTTCACCACGGGATGGTTGATGTCGTGGGTGGAGTCCGTGCACAGCCTCGATCTGGAAGGACGGAGATGGAAGAGAGGTCGACTAAGCGGGTGGTGGCAAATGGATCAACAAAACAAGTGATGGCCCACATGAATGGGCCGGAAAAGGCTTAAATAAAGAAACATTGGAACTATAAGTGTGCAACCGCACAGTACATCTTTTCACTTGGTGAGGTTGACAGGTTTCGGCTGTCATGGGAAGCCACTCAAACCAGTGTAGACAGTGCTCCCCAAGATGCTAGAGAAACATCAAGAAGCATCAACAGTCCATGCAGCAAGGCTCTGTGAATCGTGAATCCGAAAACAGATTGAATCAGCCAGTGTTGTAGCCTTGTAGCACACCCCTCCAGCCCCAGTGGTCCCAGTCATCCAGAGTGCAAAACCCTCTGGAGACCGTCATGTCCAAGTCGTCCCCAAAGCAAAGGCAGCCAAGGCGCAAAATGTTGTCGGTCTTCAGGTCTCTGTGCAGGACATTCTTGGAGTGCATGTGCTGGATCGCTGAGAGGACTTGTTTGAAAATGCCTCAGTTCGGACAAGGTCAGGGAGGGGGGTCTTTTCGCGAAATGCTTTTGTTACGAGAAGTTCTTTTGGGGTATTTAACGGCGATCCCTTGGCATCCCTACCGAACTGTCGTTGGCCTAGGGCTTGTGGCCTTTGAATATGCAAGCTGTCCAACACCTGCACGTCTTGTGAACATCCATTACACCTTTACTTCTCTTCCAACAGCTTTGGGGTTCCCCTGACTGTCAGTGAAATCTTGGTCTCGTTGCCGCGGTTGATTTCAAAGGAACTGCATCCCCACAACTTCCATATCCACCGTGTGCCTCCGCGTTGACAGGATGCGAAACGAAACGAGCTGAAGGCACCACAGAAGCCACAGGCCTCCAGCAGCCTAGCCAACAAAAGGCCGAACCGGACTGCCCTTCATTCCCCAGGCAACACCGCTTGGCCCGCTCCATCTCCTGTCGAGCGACCCTTGGCCTTGTCCTCCGTCATCTTCCCAGTCTTCTCCAAATAGTCGCTGAGCTCACCACCACGGGCCAACTCCATCACGATCATCTTCCCAGCTTCCTGGCATGGTGCATTTCGGGGGGGGACAGTTTTAGGCGGGGGCCGGAAGCGCGCAGGCATGGCGAAGACCCCACAGGTCACTTGCCAAGCACTTCGACAGAAAACGTGTCAAGACTAAGTTAAGAATTGCTCAACATTGTTGGTATGATGTGACAGAACCCAAGTCTTGAATCGAGGTGATTCCACTTCTGGCCAAGATGCCCCTTGGTTGTCGAACACATCGATGAGCTGCACAATGTTGGGATGTTGGCCAATGTGCCTGCATCAGCCATCAAACGCATCCAAGAACCATTGGGAAGAAAACACTCATCGAACACCTAGAAGCACACCCAGCACATCCAGCACACCGACTCTTCTTCTTACGGGCCCTAGTTACCTAGTTCTAGACTTCCCTCCCGCGGCTTCCAGGATCTTTCAGGCTTCCAGGTCGATCTACGAACCCTCCTGACTCTCATCACCTAAAAGCGCTTCGGCCCAGAGTTCCACACTGTTCCACGTGCGAGCTCATGCTAACTCCCGAGCCGCTTCCCCAGGAGAAGTTGACATTCTTCCACCTGTTCATGTTAGTGGGGAATTGTAACACAATTCCTAAAACAAGGTTAAAGGAAGTCCACTCACAGTGGTATGTCATGTGTAGACCCAGGTTTCTTCAAGCACTGTGACTTCTTCGGTGACGCTAATACAGTGATGTCGATTTCCTTTCCGTATGCCAAAACGACAAATCGCGTCAGCAAAGCAAGGTCATTCAACACCCCAACGACGTACCATAACCCACACCCCTGAACCAACTCTGCAACAAGTTCAGTGCAACTCGGCGAATATGGCTTGTGAACAAGCCTCATTCTCCCGACCCATCAACACACTTGATTCCTCCATGTGTTTTGTGACCACGCACTCTGGCACTCTTCCTCTCCCTGCCTCTCTCCCTTCCCACCTTTCCAAACACACGCACACATAAATAAACAAATAAACAATATATATACTGTATATATACTGTATAAATAAATGCACAAACAGAGTTCCCCACTTCTTCTTCATCCGACACTGTGGGCCCAAAAGCCTGTGGATCTCGATCTCTGTCTCAAGGATCTCGGGGTTTGCGGTAAAGACTTGCTTCACGGCACGTTCTTGGCCCTGCATGTCAGTACACTTGTAGACCTGCCATGGCCGCAAGCGCGCTCCACACTGCACATCGTTAGGTGGCCTGGTCGCACAAAATCCAGTGTTTTGTGCAAGAATACTTGAGTTTTTGAGAAGTGAATTCGCTTGGGATCAGAGTAAAGAAAATCATGCTGATCTCAAAAGCACCTGTCCTGCAAAGCTGTGCGCGATGTACATCGGCCCAGAATGGTTGGATGCTAAAAGGTAAATCCATTGTACAGTACAGTGCTTGCTTAAATTGGCGACAATGACTGACACTGACAATCACAATGCATTATACCTCGCTCAAAAGCTCCGAAGCACCCAACATGTCCTCTCTCAATAATTACGGAGAATTCATCTGCCCATTGGAGTTGATCTTTGGGGTAGCTTGGGCGTAGACCAGTGAATCCCGTGGGAACAAGAACACCTTTTCCACGGAGCATCTATGTAGATATATAAAATATATACAATGTTCCCATCACAATACTAAACGAGTCAATTATAAACGCATGATTTAGTGCAATGTACAATGATAAGCAAAATACAATCAATACACAGTAAAACTTGACTTACTCCTCTACAATAATGAACCTGCTTCTCTCGTGGGTTGCAATGATAAACTTCACTTTGTGCTCTACAGTGGCAAAAACTGTTTGAGATTGTAGTAGGCATGCATCAATAATAAGTGTTAATTACTCCTCTACAATACTAAACCTACTTTAAGCATCTGCCTCCAACATAGAGCTGTGTGACAAATTAATAAAACTAATTGTCACTCTCATTGTCTCATATAGGGCCGATTGGTAACTGGTCATGACCCATGAACCACTGTCACAGGCTCTCTCTTGGGATTCAACTACTGTAATCAATCATGCAACAGTTTATCTTTGCGGGGCATCGACTCAAAGAAATGCTTCACTCAAGGATTGCCCTGAGCACCATTAACAAGAATTCACAAAGGCATGCCCTCCAGCCACTGGTGGAATATTCATTCCGAGTCATTTAGATGCAACACTTTTGGGAGCCGTATGTCAACTGCGGACGAGAAAAAAACAAAACTCCTCAATACTCCTCACATGCAAATCGTTTACCATCCGTTGGGGGAGTTTATTAAACAATGTCAACATGAGTCACATGTCATCACAGCCCATACCTCTCTCACCTCTCACCCACACCCCACGGACCACATGGCGTGGGAAGGCCCTTTTTTGTTGAGCATCGAATTCTGAAAATTGGCAAATAGGTTTCCAAACTTGAAAGTTGTTCTCCAACATTTTGAGCATCGAATATATTAGAGGTCTCCCTATTCCAATTGCACTCCTACACCATTTTGTGTTGGTTCTTCTCTCTGTGCCCCCGACGTCCAACCCAGCAAGACCGCCTTTCCGTAGCCACCGGAGCCTAAGAGATTGTTCTTGTCCTTAGAAACTGGGTGAGCTGACCAAGCTGGGTAAGATCAAAAGCCAGTGGGTGCAAGTTAAGATGTCACAAAACAAAAGGAAATAATACGGGCAATCATGCCCATCCATCCAACTGGCAGGGTCACGGTGTTCAATCTTTCAATCTACAGCGGCCAGCGCTACAAGATCGCCGTATACTACGCTGCATGCTACGACACGTGCATCTTCCTCGCGAACTCGCATGATTTTCTTACATTTCTAAGGGTCCGCGAAGATGTTGCGTGACCGTCACTGCCAAGACACAAGCTGATATCCGGTGCCAAAGGTCATGGTCATGACCTAGGCTGCCACCCGACCCATGGGAATCAGGAAAGGACAAGACGTACGGTACCACCATATCCATCACGGCAATTCGGTTACGACCGGTTGACCGACCAACCAGTGGGTCCGGAGTGTGGAGTGTCAGTACTCCTGCAGCCGATGAGTTCTTCAAAGTTCCCTACACTTGGTTTCTGTGGAATCCTGGCACGGTGGATGGGCTACACAAGCTACGGTTCTCTAAGGTCGGGAAAGTTGAAGAAGCACTTGCTTCGGGAGGTCCTTTTCAAGCACAGACCGATCTGTGCTTCACACATTTCACAGAGCCTCACGGTTCAAGTCTGGCTCCATGAATCAGCTTTAGACAAGGATTCTAGGGATCGAAGTTGCAATCCATACAAGGTGGCAGGTTTCTGGCTGGGCCTCCCAACATTGCAGGGAACCAGGCTTCCATGTTGCCATACACGCAAGGAAGCCAAGGCAACGCCTCAGCGAATTGGCCGCATCAGTGCTGTCAAAACAGCACAACTTGGTCATGCCGTCGGCGCAACCAGTCTCTTGCAATGCACAAAATGCACCTCAAAAATAATCTCAAATCATTGTGCCTGAAGCAAGGCAAGAAGCCTAGGATGGCCACACCAACTGACTGTTGCTGATCACACCAAGCACGTGAAGACGACCAGTTCAACTTAGGAATCGATTCAAAACTGGAGATCTCTTATGACAGCCCGCTGGACATCCAGCTCTCTAGCCAATGCAAGTCTTGACTTCAATAAATAAAGGTTCAAGAGTGAACCGTGAACATATCCGAATCTGCCAGGTTGGATCGTTAGCAGCCCAGTAATGCCCGGTATTGCCTCATATCAACATTGTAACAACCTTGCCTCTGATCCCTGAAGCCCCCTGGAGCTCGCATGAGCCAGTTCCAAGTCACAAAGCAACGGCAATCCACCACGGCGAGTCGTCCGGGTCATTGTGCCTGCTAAAGGCTTGCACTGGACTTGCAAACCCAGGGATTGCAAAACACATTCAGTGTTGAATTGGGCTTCGTGGGCGCATCTTTGCCTCTGCGGGCGGTTAATTATGCACTTCCATGCACTTCCACTTTCTTGTAAAGCACTCTTGTGGACCACATAGTATGTCGTGGACGGTCGGTTTAAATAGCAGTTCACTCGCACGCAGTGTTGCGTGGTATTCATACGAGGAGGGAACTTTGTGGCAAAGAGATGTGTTACAGGTGTTGATGTTTTTTCCCTATTTCTGGCCCTGAGCACATGTCCGTGGAACTAGCCCAACTCTCCAAGAAGTGATGCTACGGGACAAACATTCCCCATTCCTAGCAGCATCCTCTTCCAGCCTCGCGCCCGAAAACAAACACGGCGACATCGCCGAGCAGTCATCGAATGCCCAACACGGATGAACAGCAGGTTCCAGCAGGTTGTCTGAACCTGGTTCCTGATAGCGGTGGCTTGTCCGTTTCAGTATTAAAGGCGGTGATAGATTAGAAGGCTTGGTGTGTCAGTCTCAACGATGATTTCGAGCGAACGAACTCTATCCAACTCACGGAACCCGACGATAGTCAGTGGTTGGAATTGCCACACTTGGAAGTTAAGCAAGACATCAAAAACCATCACCCAGTTCTCCCACTCATTGCCGGTTTGGGCCAACTCTGCCTGGATCTGGTGTCTGCCGGTCAAAATGCTGCTCACTCGAGCCGCCAGAGGCTGCGGCAGGATGTGCTGAATGGCTTGCCACTATATACCAAAAATGCTACAAACTCCGATGGAAAAGCTTGATGGACCCGCCCTGAATGGTGCCACACCGGCCTTCACAAGTCTTGGTATCTGCGACCATCACGGCCCAAAGAATGTCATAGGCTTGGTGAAAGCACAAAAATCACAAACCTTTCCCCAAATGGAGTGATGATCAAGCTCTTCGATTTGCTGCAGCTAGGCGCAGCCAGCATGAGGGATTGTCCTCCATGTGCAGGGGCGAATCGAGTCTGCACCGTGCACACCGTCTACATAGTCTACAGAGCCTACATGAGCTTACACAGTCTGACACAGGAACGGATGTTCTGTACAACATCCATTATCCAAACAAAGCGAGTCGTGGAAACACCTCTTTTTGTGACAGTCCACCAGAGTGGAGAAGCCCTTTATAGTAGCGGCCTAGCAGTTAGAATATTCCAAAATTAAATACATGCAGTTAGAATATTGAAAATCACATTAAGGTGGGTGTGAAAAATTTGCAGTTAGAATATTTTGCAGTTAGAATGTCACATGTTAAGCCACTGGATGAACAAGCAGCCTTTTTCCCTCGCAATCCCGATGTTTTTGTATCTATCTATCTAGCAAATAAGGGGAGCAAGTCTAGTCTTCTCACAGCATCCTTATTGAATGCAAAAGGCACACAGTGCTTGGCAAAAAGTATCTAACGCAGTTATTTAGGTTATAATGCATGCATATGCATACTGATGCATTCAGGATACTGATGCTTGCAGCCCTGGATCATGGATCATCCCTATCTATCTGTACTGGGACGAACTCTGACACTTCAAATGCCACCACGCGAAGATGGTAGATTCCCATGCACCATGCAAGCAAGCCTCCAAAACAAAACGCCATCCCGTTGATATTGGCTGGACTGCATGCAGTTGGGTTATGCTTTCAACAAAAGAAACATAAACAAATCATGGCTTGCCTGGATCCGATGACCAAAGATCCTCTAATCTCTTGAGTTGCTTCTTAGCCAAACGGTCTGCATTGTTAGTTTCACAGTAATGCTGGAACATTAAAATCAGGACTCTGATGAGAGCTTGTTTGGGGCTTCGCCCACTTCCCTCACCCCATACTCGGCCAAAGTGTTTTGACCCAGGGCATGAAGTACGCCACACCCTGGATCCTTCATGAACTCCTACCGTGCAACCTGCTGGTCTGTCTGTGAGCCCAGCTTTCTGCAAATCCACAAACTCTGGTCGCATGTATGCTGCTTGCACCCGGGTCTTTTGTTGAAGTCCAGTGGTTTGGTCTGCCTCATCAAAGTCCTCGTCTTCCAAATCACTGTCCATCATGACCCACCCATCAATGTCCAGCTCTACTGAATCTTCCTGCTGCTCATCACTGTCGTTCACAACAGCTTCATTGTCATCTAGGGCACCTGCAGCATCCATCATCACATCATCTTGCAGATCATGTGCTGCGTCTTCGATCGCAGCTCCTGCACAGTAAACCTGTATTTAATATTATCTATCTTTTTACCAATTTGTCTGGTGCCTTTAAAAACTAAACATTTTCTTGCACTTAGAATATTGTGTCAGTCCCGAACCCACATATGCCTTTCTTTATCTAGATATGTATATATATATATTAATTTATATGTGTCAATGTGTACTCACATCAAAGGCAAGTAGCTACTATGTAAAATGCATATATCTAGCCAACCATTGTCCTGGTGCAACATCCAACTCTTCCGGAATGCTTGCTTGTGCTTGCGGGTGTACGCCAGTAAGGAGCACCAGCTGGAAGTACTTGCCACCTCCGGATCTGATGCGAAGCTGATCTGCCTGCTCGCTCACACGAATCTCCAAAAGTAGGCACGATGCTTTCTGCTGATGCAAGTGTTTGGAACTGAAGTTCATGACCTGGGACTGCCGGTTCTTGTCCAGCACCAGGCGTCGCGTGTCGCACTGGTTCCATTTGTCATAGTTTTCTTGAGCCTTGGGTGGAAGTCCGGTCTTCCCTTCATTTCTGCGCTTCAGAAATTTATGCTGCCAATCATCACTCTCCTTCTGCCAAATTGAAAGTGTTCTGGTAATTGGTAAATTCCACCAGTCTGGAAGCAAGATTGGCTCAGCGCCAGGAAGATCTTGGTCAATGATTGCCCATCCAGTAGCCTGTTCACCCACCAAAGTAGTATTTCTTGCATCAGTGATTCGCTTGGCTTCTTCATCGTAGTTATCCTCGCCAATGCCATCTAACTGAAAAAGGTACCGCATAGATCCTCTACATGCCTTCATGCACTCATCCAAGGCCTGCCGACTGCCTTCAAATCGCCAAGAAGCCATATCTTCCGGAGTGACCAGGCCCCTGCTCATCCACGCATGCATGATTAGCTTTCCACCTCCAAATTTCTTGAGTTGTGTCAAGGCCCATGCGTCTGCTCTCAGGCTACTGCTCGTGTCTAACCTCAGTCTGAAAGCATCTTTAAAGTCTCGACTAGATAATCTTGATTCGTTTGACTCCTGTATAGATCTCAGAGAATATTCTATCTGCAAGGAAACCTGTCCAGATCAAAAGCAATCTTATAAGTTACTTACTCTCGAGCAGGTCGATGAAATAGTTTTTTCTCAGTGCTTTGTTGTTTTGTTGTCATTAGGGCTTCCCATGTTGTTGTCATATTGTTTTCGATATCATATAGTGTCATTGTGTTTGTCATTTCCTGTCAACTGTCCTAAAATTATATACTGGTCCTATATGTATTGTTGTTCTTTAGATTAAGACGAGACTCATCCTATATTTTAACATTACAGTGAGCGGCAGGAGGAGGAGCAGTCTATTTGAATATTCTAACTGCACTGTTTGTGCAATGTTTTAATAAGAGCAGCCAATAAGATCATCAGTAGGCAGAGGTTTGCTTGTTTGCTAGCCATGCAGTGAGGGATGCCGGTTATGCGCATGATGCTAATGATGCTGAGCCTTGGAAATTTTAATTGTTTGAAAATGATCTGAAGCTCAATAGTTGTGTCCGTTTTCATCCGATTCTGTTGAAAATGGTCTTATATCTTCTCAAAATATATAGTATCAAAGTTCCGTGACATTTTGCACCCTCACCAACATTCAAAAAAACGGTCAGTCTCCCGTTAAGGGAAGAGACACAGAGACAGGGGGAGAGGAGAAAAAGTGAACCAAAAGTAGCTAGTTAATTTTTTATTCTTAGTTATTTTCCTGGTCTAATTCCTTCAGTTCCTGTCTTCCCTTGAGGTTTCAAGAGTTTTGAGGCCATTTCTTAAAATTTAGGATTTTTTGGAAAATTTGTGAAAATTCAATGTTTTTGGGACAGTTTGCTGGTCCAATTCCTTCAGTTCCTGTCTTTCCTTGAGGTTTCAACAGTTTTGAAAGCATTTCTTAAAGATTGATTTTTTTGAATGTTGGTGAGGGTGCAAAATGTCACGGAACTTTGATACTATATATTTTGAGAAGATATAAGACCATTTTCAACAGAATCGGATGAAAACGGACACAACTATTGAGCTTCAGATCATTTTCAAACAATTAAAATTTCCAAGGCTCAGCATCATTAGCATCATGCGCATAACCGGCATCCCTCACTGCATGGCTAGCAAACAAGCAAACCTCTGCCTACTGATGATCTTATTGGCTGCTCTTATTAAAACATTGCACAAACAGTGCAGTTAGAATATTCAAATAGACTGCTCCTCCTCCTGCCGCTCACTGTAATGTTAAAGAAACATATATATATATATAAACAGTAGAGAAATTTGTACGAAAATCATAGAAACTCAGAATCTGAGCAATCATTGTATGTACCTGCAATGGGCCTGGACTACCAATCTAAGAACCGCACGAAAACCGAGGGTTCCCATCGATGGAGATCTCCATGTCTTGGAGAGCACGCCTCACTTGTGCACATCCACCTAAGCCAGCTGCCACCCTCATCCAACTACGCCGTAAAGCATGCCAATGATTGTGCCAGCCGTCGTTTGGTCCTCCAGTCGCACCCCACCCGCCCGGAATGCACACCAAATCCGTGGAGGCACCATGAACTATCAGGCAGTTGTGTTGCTGCTGCCAACGTTGACGTGCATCCTCGAAGATGCTTGCATGGTGGACTGAGGCTTTGTCACAAAGCAGTAGGCCCCTTGATGTTGCATCTAGTCCAAGCTCTTGCCTTTTTGCCCGCAACTCAATTGCAAAATGATCCAAAAACTTCATCATTGTGGATGCTTGCCACATATGAGACCGGGAATCATGTGGATCAATAAACATGACCTGGGGCCGGATGTTGACCTGTTGAATATTCTAACTGCAACCATACAATACCTAGGGAGAAAGAAAACATATGAACACATTAAGCTGTTATCTTGGAACGTTCCCGGAAACAGTGTAGCTGCAAAAATTGACAGCAACTAAGCTTTATACTCCCTTCAACTCCTCATTCATGGCTGTCACCACGCTCATTGGCATTGTTGAGTTGGGTGCCGTGACATATGCCGTTGCAAGAGTGCCATCACTCCACGAAACTGTAGTGGTGGTACGGGCTACGCGGTGGTAATCCACAGGGTTCAAATTCCCCTCTGCATTGAGAACAGGATGTCTGGGAGCATATGGGGCAATCTCTTGACAGCCGGTAGGAGAAAGGCCCAGTGCTGCTTCAATGCTGGCAATCATTTTTTTGACAGTTGGTTTGTGCTGATCACTTGGACACGTCCCACGGTCCTGCTGAGGTTTGTACAAAGTCCGTCTAGCATGCTCATAGTGGGTCGAGCACACTTGGTCCATGTTGGCTATCAGTCTTGGGTTGATTCCGTGGGTCTCAGAGCATTGTCCAACCCACAGCCTTACCTTCTCCATGTCACTGTGCTCAAACGGTAAATGCTTTGATGGCTTTGTCACCTGGGAAGAGCGTTTTCCCAGACGGATGCAGAGCCGTCTTGCTGAAGACCTAGGTTTCTGAGTTGTAGACACATAATGATTGGTAGACAAACAGGTCGGAAGGATATCTGGAACAACCTGTTAAAACAGTCCGCCAAGCTGCCTCAAAGCTTGAAAGTTGTGACTGATGTCTATTGGCGTCAAAGCTTCTACTAAAGCATTGATTCTATTGGCGGTCTCTTCCTCAATCCCTGCAACCTCATCGTCAGAGACATGGGCTTGGATCTTTTTATCCTGCTCTGCAAGCACGTCCGGCCCCACCACCTCAATGACTTGGGATTTGAACTCCTCAATCTTGTCGTTCCAAATTTCAAGGAGCTGCCTTATCACACTCTCCACAAAGTCATACCCGATCTCCTCCCCAAGAGACATTCGATCCAGCAGAAAGGTCTCAGCAGCCATAGCAAGTTGGAACGGTATTCGGTGCAAAGGCTCGCCAGGCTTGGATTTGTATCGGCCCCCTGTGTGCTTCAAAACCTGATTGTCAGCACAGCGCCAGCTTGCTAAAATCTTACACCATAACCATTTACCTAGAATGGTCGCCTTGCAAATAGAATACTCAAGTCTAGAAACACATTTCATAGAAACACAATTCTGACAGTCTTCGTACCTATGGATTCATTGTTTGTCCAACAAAGTTAACCAAGCATGGTTCTATCTATTTAGATACAGTAAATGAGAAAGGATTGCCAATCTCTTCTGAAGGGCTTTGATTCCCAGAGATGGTCTGAGGCTGTTTGGAACCTCCATCACTCTCTTGCTAAGGTTCGGAGCGTGTTTGATGAAGACGTCCCATTTGTCAGCCATCCTTCTGCCTCCCCAATGTGACTTGCTAAAGCACCCTTGGTATTGGCCTGCTCTGTTGCCATTCTTCAACATGTGTGCCTCCGGGTTTGATACACCGCTGGCTTTCAGTTCATCATACTCCTTAGTGCCACTATGTGCCAAGATCTCTATCCCACACGTTCATAAGAACTGTTTGAACGCCTTCTTGTTATATGGTCCTGATCTATTCAAAAGTTTAGTACTTGCAGTTAGAATATTACTGTGTTCCTGTCTTGTCATATTGACTCAAGAGGAACAACAACTGGATGAAAATGACAAGGCACTTTGAACAGCTGCATCTTGGTCCAAATGGACATTGATGATCTTTTCCCTGGCCGCTGACGCTTCAACCCAGCTTGAGACATGGGGTCTTTGGAGCCCTGTGGTCTTCCCCGCTTCCTCTTGCCTTGCTGCTCTACCAGCTGTGTAGCTGCTTGTTGAAGACGGCCGATTGGATCACTTGTTGAACGGCTACTCGAATGCTGAGCTGGTGGTCCAGTGCCATATATGGTGTTCTCAGCCTTTGTTTTGCATCTGAGGCGCAACTGCTTAGTAGGCCTTTCAACTGGGTCATTGGTACCACTCTCGAGCGCCACAACCGAATTGATTGCAACTGGTGGTTCTTTATGGTCAGCCTGAAGTGATTCTTCCATTGGTAGACTGCACTCTGATGAGCTTCTCTTGCGCTTGGTTCCTGAGCCAAACTTTCCATCCCCAGATTGGCTATCGGTGCTCGAACTTGTTCCCTGGCGAACCAACACGTCATGGTGCTGATCATCCTCAACCTTCTTGCACAATGTTCTCCACCCAGAAGAGTGAATCAATGATGCGATCAGCTTTGCCTGTGCAGAAGTTGATGCAAAAGAATGACCTGGCGTTGAGAAGGGAGGGTCGGTTGATATTATATAGATAAAGATTCTACAGACAGTATCTATCTATACCTGCCTAGATGCCAATCTATCTACCAACCCATCTATCTATCTAGATACATCTACTTGCATTGCCAATGTTTAAACAACACACAGACTAAGCTTACATACAGTATGTCTATCTACTATGATAATACCTCACCCTGACGTTCCATCAATCCAGCCTGCCATGTCCTGGGTATTCTTGTCGTTCTCCCAGAGGCGCTCAACAGCTTCAGGATTTGCAAAGTCTTCTTTGAACAAACCCTGACCTGTCCACATCTCACATGGACGAACAAATCGACGTAGCTTCTGGCTGAATATTGAATGAGTCGGCCTAATGCAAGTGCAGACACCAACCGCTGCTTCTGCTTTCCTGCTGCTAGAGGTTCCACCATCACAAAAAGCATTGCCAGAGCAATGTTCCAGCTCATGCATTTCTATGGCCTCGTTCAGCTTCTTTTGCTGCAGGCTGTTCAGCTTGTCTGGTGGAAGCGACTCATCAAAACAGGAGCTGAACGGGAACAGGACATCACTCGCCAAGCTCCTCACCGTGTTCTTCATGTTTGTCTTATAGCCAATGCTGTTCTGTCCTGAGTTCAAATCCATCGTTGCCCAAACTCGGTTCCTCCTTTGGCGAAGCAAAAACCATTGCGCGTCAAGGATATCATATTCCATGATGTATCCCAGTTTTTCAAAATCCTTTGCCATGACCTGTTCAAGGGCAAGGATGACGATGCACTGGAATATTCTAACTGCAAGCATGTAGCCTAGTTGGGAATGTGAATCCTTATTCTTTCAATCTATCTAGATGTAAAACCAAAAAGAGCATTTGAAAAACTATCTATCTACAGTACATAAGATTGATTTTGAACCCCTGCCTCTGTCAGTGGAGGAAGTATCTCAACTTGACCCTTTTGAACTGTTTTGCTGCGATCTGCTACCCCAGTCACATTCTCATAGAACACAAGGGCCGGGCAGCAAGATTCCGTCGCAGCCACCACACCTTGCTGATATGTTCTTCCGGAAGATCCATCACCGGTGAGGTAGCCTGTGTCGAGTCGGAACAAAGAACAATCAATATATCTATCTATCACATGATATTTCCAAAGCTCACACAGACTATATATCCAGAGTAAAATATGTATCTATCTATACACTTGCTTTTGCACATGCAAGTGGCACTGGGCATACTGGCGCTTCTCAATGAACTCTTTGGACACGTTTTTGCAGCTTGGCCCGGCAAAGAGAACATCCAAAGGAATGTTTGCATCGTGTTCAGTTTGGCATGAGTAGCAGAATCCCTTACCATCCTCAAAGACCTTGACGTCTGCAAAGACATGGAAGGGACAGTCTTCGCCGGGGTTGGTGTGAGCGGCCATGAGGAATTCTCGCTTGAAAGGCTCTATCTCTACAGACAGCACATGCTTTGGCTGGATGTTCACCTTGTCATCCAAGCGTTCCCCAAAAGAATATTCTATCTGCAAAACTTTTGTATGTGCACAAAAGCAAAAGAATACAAAATATGTTTATCTATCTATCTATCTGTCTATTTAGATTGCTGACAAAAAGTAATAGCAAACAAGGCCAGTTGCTGAGAACTCTTCATTGATAGCAGAGAATGTATGCAGAAGAATGCTCCAAGAGATATCTGTTCCACTGCATGTAGACCCAGTTTGGATAATGGATCCATCCAGATTAAGTGCAGTCTCCCGTAGTTGGCTGTAATCTTCTGCAGACAGCTTTGCCATGAAATATTTGGCAGTCTCCTTAAGCCGCATCTCTGGCAATTCCACATGCTTGTAAGACCGAAGCGATGACTTTGCCACAGAGAAGGACTTTCCACGCAAGCCCAAAGGAACCTGAAATGACATCTCGGGCACCACCAAGTTTGTCAATGTCCATGCAAAGACGGGCTTCCCAGATTGAACAATACGTGCACGCCAAGCCCTTTGCAAGTCAGGGTGGGCACATCGAAAGTCCGGGTGAGAGCGAAGAGTTGCAAAGTCTTGGATTGGAACCACTTGTTGAAGGGTTGCTTCTGCAGCAATCATCCCTCCACTGCCAACTCCAACCAAATATACTCTGTGCACACCCTTCTTCAGTTTCCAATTCATCAAAAGTGTTTTCTCTGTATCTAAAGGCGGGCTCAGCACCTTGTTCAACAAATGCTCTTGCAGGCGCACAACCATGCATAGCTCTTCATCTGCATCGGCTTCGGGATCGTCTGTGTGGTTGCCAGGTGGACGCTGTTCGCAGTTTGCATCTCCGCGAAACATCCTGTCAACATGGCTTTGGCAGTTGTAACTGGTTCCGGGAAGTCTCCCGTCTATCATTCTGTCCAACCTTGCTTGCTTGCCTCGGTATCTATTTTCATCAAACAACTTCGTCACATTTTCTGGGCACGTGTCCCTTTGGCACACTTGTGGAACACTGGGCATCCTGTCCAATGGAGCCTTACTCCCACAAGTTTTAACCCGGTCAAAAAAGGCATTGATTGCATCTTGAGAAATGGTCATCACCTCCCCTGTCTCTGCCTGTTGCTCTGGAGCTTCATCAGGTTGTGATGACTGTTGTTTTGCTTCCATGGTGCTGCTGGCTTGATGTACTGCTGTTTGTGCCGGTATCTCTGCCTGTGGCTTTGGAGGTGCCTCAGGCTGCTGTTGCTTTGCTTCCATGTTGCTGCTGGCTTGATGCGCTGGTGGCTGTGCCGGTATCTCTGCCTCAGGCTTTTCTGTTTGTGCCGGTATCTCTGCCTGTGGC